TTGTTGCTCCATTCTTCATACCACAGCATGTATAATTCTGTGTAAAAAAAAAATAATAATCAAGGAAGAGACATGCATCAAAAGGCTGTAGATTTGAATAGCCTGGATGTGCTGTAGTTTAATCTCCGATGATAACATGCACATATCTGTGTATATCTACCAACTCCTTGCGACAGTATTGGGGAGAGTGACTCTCCTCTCCCTGATTTATTTTTGTTGAGGGGAGTGGGTAAATGTACACTAGTTATGAACAGGTGTCATGGCAACTCCAACATATGAGTAATTATATATGAATAAATAAGAATCTGTCTGTTGTCCAAAATATGTTGTAAGAAGCAAGCACTGTCTTTAGAAATACATTGACCCTCATGACTTTTGAGAATATTTCACTTAATGGTGGATGTAGAATATTGCACATGATAATAATCATCATCAAATGGCCAATTCCCTCTATGAGAAATGCCTGCAGGAAATCATGGTAGTTGTGTTCAAAATCTTCGACTGTATATTGTTTTGGTGAACACAACTACCCTGATTCCCTGCAAGAGTGTCTCATAGAAGGAACTGGCCATTGAGAAAATATTCATTACCTCTTCCTGCAAACACATGACACATGTTGGCTCATCTGTTAGACATCTGGGTGCTGGCATTCCTGTGTACATGTACCACAGTACATAAGAAAAACTCCACATGTCACTGGCAAAAGAGCATCTCTGCAAGAATGAAGTCAGAAATCTGGATATTCAAGTGCACATACTTGGGAGAAACAGGTGTATGATGGCCCAATAGATAGGGCACTGGACTCCAGATTGACTGGTCAGCGCTGAGACCTGGATAGAAACTTAACTCTCACGGCACCAGTGAAGTTCAGTTTCATGCCAACAACAGGGAAATAAGACTAGAGCCCATTATTGAACTGTCATGGATGAAGAGTTGAAGCTATGATATGTCAGTGTATAATGCCAGACTGTTCTCACATGATCAGATACCCTGACCTGAAGATGATGTAGTCATGTGAGCACCACTAACTGCCATTCCATCAGGCCAGTGAAGATTGAGCTCTGTGCTCAAAATATTCTGAGTAAACACCATATGCCCTGAATTTTGGCACTAAGTTTATTCAACTACCAAAAGATTGAAAGAAGCATGATAAACCCTAAATATCACTCACTGAGCTCTTTCTGTGAGTGATACCTTCAGCAACTAATCTGTTCCATGCTTGTGCTTCTGGGGATTGGTAACCAGGACTCTGAAGTGGCTGATGAGGCTGAGGAATAAAATGCAAATTAAAAATTGATTGACAGTCCTTTGCACAATAAGACACTGATTATATTTTTCTTACATTGGTGAAACTTTGCACTGATTGACAGAAGTTCAACTTTGAATTTCAGAATTGCTTTAAGACTCTGAATTACGGGCTACTACCGACAATGTATTCCACTGGAGGCTCAATACCCGGTGGCAGTTTGTCAATCTGTCTCAACAATTTGCTTCTACCCATCTTCTTTTTGTTTTCATTTCTCTATCATTTGTAGATCTATAGTAGCAGCAATACTACAGATGCTACTCTATAAATTTGAATTGAGGTAATAATGCATTTATATACATGTACGTAGAGTGTTTACACCACTGGATGGATAGAGGCACTGCGAGGGTGGAGCCTTAACAAATTTAATGCTAAATATCTGCTCAGCCAGCATTCAACAACCTACATGCAATCAAAAGGCCACCATGTTAATATTTTTTATTGATCTCAGATGCCTGTTATGGTGTTTTTTGTATGCTGTTTCACACCCCATTGATTTCCATCACATATTTTAAAAGTGGTCACCTGATGGCAATTTTTCAGTTTTAAAATTCACTGCCACAAAAAAAGATTTGAACTTTATGAAAATCATTGCATGGAAAGAGTGTACCTTGAGGGAATACCTTGAGGTGTAATATGCCACATGATCATTATACCATCATGTATTCACTGCCTTTTTTTAATCCCTCACCTAAACCAAAGGCTCGTGAAACTGCCTGAAGAAAAGCCACTTTAACAGACATCTGCATTCAATAGCACCCACATGTAAAAGTAAACTTTCTGCTTGAACAGCTTACTTGTTTTTCCTCCAAAAAACTGAGGCCAAAATCCACAAGTTGAAACATGCCTCTATTTGAATTCCACATTATGTTGGACATCTTGAGGTCCCCATGAACAACCCTGTTGGTGGCCAAAAAACTCAGAGCTCTCACAATATCCCAAGAGCATCGCTTAATGATAGACAAAGGAAGACCTTTCCCTGAGTTCTTTAATAAGATATGATGAAGATTGCAATCCAGCTTCCCATAAACCAAATGCAGTTGGTCTTTACATAAGAAGTAATCCTGCAAGGGCACTACAGAAGGAAAGACATAGTATTATTGATAATTTTAACACATAATTGTTGAAAAAAATACTTGGGTTGAATCTTGTGAAAGTTGGTAGAGTAGCAAGCCCACACTAAGATTTTTGTTTACTCTGTAGTTGTTAACTCAAAGTATAAAAAGTATTTTTTTTTATGGACCAAATGCCAATTGTAAATGTAGCAGCAATGATGTCACACTCAATTCTCTTTATTTCACAGAAAGAAAAAAGAGCAACCGCGATCTTAGCACTTGCACACTTGTGGGTGTTTCTCCTTTAACAGTACAGCCCCACCACATAGTGTCTTTGATGGATTCATATTATAGAAAAAACAAAAAGAAATGACAACTGAAAAGGCTCTTCAATTAGGGCAAAGCCCAAAACGACTCTTGTACCCACACTATTTGACACTTGATGGAGCATTTTCAGCCTTCTTGTCATTTTCATTATAAGTGTCATGCATCACATAAGTTTTTTCTCTCATTTCTACCAGAAGAAGTCTAAGCCCAACAACAACCCATAAGAGTACCACATGTATCTCTCCATAGTAGAGCATAATCAGTAAGGAATTTCTGGGGACTGAGGAAATTGGTTGTGTGAACAGAGAAATTTGTCCACACCTGTCCAATAAATACCTCCCTTTCAGAACTTGGGGTTTTATTATTAACTTGAGTTCATACCATACTTGTAACTCACCTATATAGTGTTTATAGGGAGATTCCTGTTGACGATTCAAATACTCTAGAATTTCTATTTCATTAGTTGCAGCTTGCTCAAATTGATGTCCTTGTTTGAAAATCTTGACAGCTCCTTTCAGAACTCGTGGAGGAGAATGTCTGCATATGCTTCTGGAGTAGAATGTGCCTACAGCTTCAACAACCACACTGCATGTTCCCTTCCCTAAACAATGACCAAGTTGCCACTTATACTTTGCACTCTTTTTAATCTCCCCCTTATTGACATCTATAGAAGAAGCCATCTCTTTAAATGAAGGAAAAAAACAAATTAATCTCTAAAGAAGGAAAGTTCCGTGTGGTGTTATTTCAGAGGGCAAGTGAAACACTTACAGTATAATTTATTATCAACTTGACATTATATTCACAGCCAAACCCAGTGAAGTGGTGTTACAAAGCACAATATACAGCACATGCTATTAAAGTTGCACTTGTATGTTTGGTTCATACAGACATCAGACCTTTTGTCCAGGCATTATTTAACAAATTTAAATAACATTCTTTGTTTCAAACATTCACTTTTGTAATAAAGAACTAAATGTAGTCATGTAATCAAAATCAATGGAAAACACTAATTTTGCCTGGGTTATATGTCAGCTTGTGGAGGTGATGTGGATTAACCTGCAAGGGACTAGCATCCCTTGCAAAAAGGAATAGAAATACTCCAGGTCACTTCAGGTCAGAAACCAGAGAGAAGCGCTGGCCTAATTTTGTAGTTCCAGAAAATATCAATGCCCCCCACAGAAGGGATCCCAACCCCTCTGGAAATTCCAATTAAGCCTCATACATTTCTTTACATCTTGTGGTCTCACAGAACCCCTCCTCACCCAGAAGATGCCAATCCCTTTTATGGAGGGAGCATACAGATGGATATTTTCTGGAACTGCACATTTGCCTCTTGACTCATATGTAAACTTTACCTTTTATATGTCAGCTTGCAAGCTTATAAGCTTACATAGAATTTACAAGTGTGTTGACTAAGGTTTCTCTTTGAAAATGATAACTGCCATTTTTCTTCTAATCTTTTTTCCCCACACACTTTATTCATGATGAGAGTACTCATCTGAAGTTTGGAAGTTTGAAGGAAGATTCTACAAATATGGACTTTCCTGGTCCCTTTTTTCTCCCTTTTTCCTTTTTCTACGAACGTTTATGCGCAAAATAATAAGTATTCCTAGTTAGTTTAAGTTTTCCTAATTAGTTTAGGACAACAAGCCTAATATAATTGAGTTAGCTATAGTTAACTTAGTTCATTAACGAATGGAAATCTTCCTAGAAAAGCTCAGCAGAGCTTGCTAAGATCTCCAGCCATTATATTATACATACGGTTATTCTCTGTAGCAGATTTAACGCTCACGTAAAAAAAAACCGCTTGACTAAACTTCGCATAGTTTGCACACATTTTGTCGCAGCGTCAAATGGAAAAATTTACCTCGTCACTAAGATAATTTTGTCTGCACGAACGACATGAGGAGCCATTGTTGCTTATTTCGCTGTACTACATACGGACATGAAATGGCAGTAGTCCGTGACAAGGAAAACTTAGTTTTATCTCCAGCAACAAGTATCATCCTGAGCCGCCATTTTGGAAAAACACCTGCAAAAATTATTTAAAGGGGAAGGGTAGGTAGTTTGACAGTTGAAAATACGTTTTTGTAGTTCAGAGGAAAGGATTGTATTATTACCTTTTTTATTTATAATTTTAAACAGGTATCATCTACATCGGGAACTTCATCTTCTCATTTTGATTGAGTTATCTTTTTCTCTCTTTGATATTCTCGGCCGTATATATAAACTATAAAATCATCAGGGACTCCACCCCTGGTATAAAATTTCAACGAGAGAGGACTGGAGAAAATAATCTTGCGCCCGCGAATGCCACTACAATAACGTGAGCATGCGTCGTAAACGTAAACATGGTGGAAAAATTATCCCAGGACATGAAAGAGCAGCTTAAACAATTTTTCTTTACACAGCGAAGCAATGGACAATAGTTTGGATGAAAAAGAAACAGAAGACCCAGATTACGAGTCTGTCAGCAGTGAACGCAAGCGAGAACAAAGATTCCTTAACACACGACAACAAGATGCAAAGGAACAAGCGATACAACGAATCGATCACATCATTCGTCAACAGTTTGGCTTTGAGGTACACTTGAAGGAGAGAGAAATTGATTTAATTGATAATAGAGTCAGTCAAGCAAAAGCCATGCTAGACAGGCTGAGATCATGTGTGCTGGCGAAATATTACGGCACGTCTGGACAGAAAGCCGTCAAAGGAACTAGAACAAACGACAAGTTGGGTCACTGTGATCGCAAGAAGTCAGCGCGAAATTGTGTCAAGCGAGTTGAATTTCCAAGAACTGGAGTCCCAAACCATTCCAATGAAATGGTCAGTGCAACAGGTAGTATTCAATTTAAAACGGAAACAACCAAGACGTCTGCAGTTACGGACACATTGACGAATAATGGTTATCTTGTTGACAGCCAATTGCAATCTAAGAAAACACTTGGATCGGGAAATGCAAACGCTGTGATTCAAAGTGACAGCAGCAGCTTTATGTCAGAAGAACAACTGAAATTAAATGGAAATCTACGTGGGTCAAGTGAGAATTCAAAGCCTGCTGTAGCTCATCATACAAAGAAAGAACAACTAAATCAATCAAGTCAATCAAATGACAGAATTAGTAATAATTTCTTTAGGCATAGCTTAAATGAGAAATACTCTCCAAGTACAGCTGGAAACCCTTCAAGTGCAGTTGGAAACCTTTCAAATGCTGTGGGAAGCCCTTTAAGTGCAGTAGAAAAACTTTCGAGTACAACACCCTGCACCGGATCACGATTCTACATAAAGAAACGAATTATTGTTGGCAACACATCAAAGTACATATCCATCGACAGGCGGGAAGAGAATGACAAATCGACTCACAAGTGGATGGTGTATGTCCGCGGTCCACGCGAAGACCCAAATATTGATCGGTTTATAAGTAAAGTTTGGTTCTTTCTTCACCCGAGTTACCGTCCAAACGACATAGTGGAGGTAAACAAGCCACCTTTTCATTTGACCAGAAGAGGTTGGGGTGAATTTCCTGTGCGTGTACAGTTGCATTTCGTTGATCCAAGGAACAAGAGAGTGGACATCATTCACGAGCTGAAGTTGGACAGAACATACACAGGGCTTCAGACGTTAGGTTCTGAAACTGTTGTTGACTTGGAGCTTGATCGTAGGACGTTTGAAGACAACTGCGTCCCGCTTGGGACTTTGTCAGGTAAAGAAGATAGGCTTTCTTCAAATGCGACTGATGGAGATCGAGGTAACGATGACAACAGCGTGGAAAGAAAAACAGTGAGCATTCTACACTACCAACAGAACCAGCTGGTAGCTGACACGCTTTTTAAAGTGAGAAAGTGTCCGGCCAATTCCGAGAATTCATCGCAGTGTCCTCAGTTGAAAAAACTCAAATTAGAATCTACCTTTTCTGTTGGTTCATCAGCATTTTCATCAACTGTGTCCACACCAGTGAATAGTCAGCCAGCCTCACGGTGCAGTAGCCCTGAGCTGACCTCTAGCCATCTTCATGTAGTAAGCAAGTTCCCGGACGAAGTAAATGATATGTTGCGGAAGGCTGTGAACGAACATCCCTTGATTGATCCAGAAAGAAATGTTGTGAAACATCACTACTGTGCGTCATCCATAGAACAGTTTCTTGGCTGGAACATTGGCAAGAGGAGAGCCTGCGAGTGGCAGAGGTCAGTGGCTATCAGGCGTCGTATGCTCAGCTGTATGCCTTCGTGTAACCTTAGCACCAAAGATATCTTGCTATGGTGTCGTCGGTTTGGTTACACGCCTTGTGACAAAGTAACTGGGGACGCGAAAGTGTTATTTTGTAAGTTGTGTGGAGGTTTCCTAAGTGTTCCATTTGATGAAACTTCTAAAGAAAAAGAAGCCCACAAATGCGAAGATCCACTTTTCAACAGCCTCACGCCGGCAAGTGAGCTTATCTCAGATGTTGAAGTTAAAGAAAGATGTCTTCCTGACGTACCAAAACCTGTCAACGACTCAGAAGACTTGGAAATTGATGTCGTTGGTCTTACGCCAAAAGAGAGAATAGCTGAACCACAAGAAAGCAAGCCAGTAATTTATTCGATCCCTTCAACTCCAGAACAGAACTGGATACGTGAAACTTGCAGCGACATAGGAGTCAAACTTAAAACTGTCAACACCGACGGATTAGACGTTCACGTGATCGAGAACCTCCTTTTAGCGGCCTGCAAAGGGTTCGCCGAGGATATTTTACGTCAATCATGGGCTATTGCTGCTGACCAGACTACGTCACACGGACCTAGGCTCGTGACACCAAGTCACGTGCACAAGGCCGTATGTTCTCTTCCTCACTGCGATTTTCTTACTCGTGCGTATCTCGGTGAAATTTTGCACAGGGAGGAGAAGTAATATTTAGTTAAAGGCAAGAAACCATTATTTATTTGAAACAGTCATGAACATAACACGTACAGTGCTCCGAAATTCCCGTATTAAAGCAGTATGATATACTAAGCAGTTGACTCTACTTCCTAACAGAAATTGGTGAAATAAATAGTCGGAGCAGATATTAAATTGTCTCGAGTTTAAGGTTTTGCTTTGTGGCTTTCTCACCTGGAATCAACCTCTTGTTCTTCCATTCTGCATGAACTCATCTTTATTTGCCAATCAGGTAAAAACTGACTTCCTAAGCCTTTACCATGCAATAGTTTTGTTCATCCTTCAACGGGCCAATTTTCTTAATAACCGACCTCCCTCAAGGACCTAAAAGTCTAAAGCGTTCTCTTTTCTTGTGTAAGGGATAAAACGCGAAGGATGAATAGCAATTTCAGCAATCCAGCGGATTGCCTAAAGCCTCAATCTGTTTGGCCAGGCCTCGCGTTTTTTGTCTAGTAATCAGGAGTGAAACTTTTGTAGACTTTCAAGAACCAGGTTCCTCAATTGAACAACGAAAAGGACGAGGTAAACTTAAAGTTAAGACGAACATAGAAAAACGTCACATAAACACTACTCAATTAGTATAGGTAGACGTATGAATACGAGTGCAATGAAGGATTTACACTACGAGTGATATTTGAAACTTCTCTCAAAATTTCACGAGCCTTTAGGCGAGTGCAATTTGAAGGAATTTTCAAATATCACTAGTAGTGCTCGACCTTTCATACGATTACTCATTTATTATATGACTGAGAAAATTGCAAACGCGCGCGCGTTAATTTATACTGCAGTGCCCCTGCATAGGCTCGATTTCCAGCCGCTGTTCGGAAAACGAGCCCGCGCTCCTGGAATAAAGACCGGACGCGAGAGAGCGGCGGAAATCCAGCCTACGTCCTGCAGTGCAAATTAAAAATTAACGATAAATTGGCCTGTCCTCAGCCAATCACAATGAAGTAATTTTCCCAGTCGTAAAATAAACAAACTACTCTACTTTTGCAATGGATACTTTGCTATACGTACAAAAGTCTCAGTCTTTTTTACACACCTCTTACTAACCGAGTTCAAGGGCCGTACTGTAAGTTACGGACCGAGTTTTTTCCCCATCGATTTATGAAGGGAAAGAACGAGGATCCGTAACTTACGGTACGGACCGAGAAAACGAGGTTAGTAAGATATTTATTATATCTCTACTGTGTGTCTGACGAACTCAGGAACGATTTCTGTTCACGCGGAACGGCTTCAGATTTCTGACGCACTTCGAAAGCAAAACGACTCAATTTGAAATCGTTGTTAAGAGACTCTTATGTCGTTAGCAGGTTTTAATACACAATTTCAGAGGTAAAAGAAAGTTTTAAACTTTTAATTGATAAAAAAGTTAAGAACATTTGGGGATAAGTCACGAAACATTTTGGTAGCAAAAACAGCTTTTAATGTTAGCGGGCCGTGCAGTAGATTACGGCCCGCTAAATTTACCAATCACAGCGCGCGTACTAACAGAGAGGTATAATAAAAGAAACTATTTTCCTTGAAAGACTTTCCACATCAAACTTGTTGTATTGTTAGCGCTCGCAAGCCGGAGAGGAACTAAAGTGTCTTTCTTTTGTCCTTTCAAGGACTTCTATCCTTCTTCACTCTTCGACATCTACTTTCTTCTTCAACTTCAGCCAACATAGCTTAATACCTGAACTGTAGACATGTTTGGGTTCTTGGATCGTGGGAAATGGAGGATTCCATATTGCATTTGAAACTACACTAGAACATACCAACGGGGACAAGACCTAAAAAACTAACGGCGAGCCAATGAAAATGACGAGAAAGACAGTTTTTAACCGTAACTTAAACTCTCGCGGAGGTCTTAACCAAGGTCAGCAAGACTATGGAAACGGGACTAGCGCGGGACTGAAATGATATAATTAAAGAACCTATACAAAACGAGCGTCACTGAGAGCCTTGGATAGCCGTGGATGATCACACGATTAACATGAGACAAACTATAATTGGTGATTAAAGGAGCTCAATCACGGTATTTTAAGTCATTGCCGCAACTTACAAAATTACCTTGAAATTGAAGGAAACCTGAAAGTAATAGTTTACTAAGATAGCAAAACACTAAAGAGACAGTAATAATAAACCATAAAGGAACAAGGATGGTTAAGGATGGGGAAAATTGACACGGGATACAAACTACGGACTTGAAAAATTTAGGCTCAACTTTTCAAAATGCGGAAATTGTGACGAAAACAAATAAACAAAGAATACCTCATGTCAGCATACGTTTAGCAATGGGTACACGCAATCCCTACGTTGTCTATCAATTACTAGTAATAGAGCACAGAGAAAGCAAATAAATGCATGCAAATATTCTCCAGCTGGCAGTAAAAGTAGAGAAAATCTTTCCTGTCATAAAGTTTAGATTTAGCGACTTTGTTCCCATAAGTCCTCCACTCTGATAAACGCCCCGGCCAAATTCTCCCCACCCTACTTGTGTTACAAGAAATACATAGCCCATAGTAATGAGGTAAAGTTTTGAGCTGTCAACATAATCATACAACTGGGAAATGCGAGAAGACATCAAATAAGAAAGAAATAAAAACTGTCAAATTTTTTTAAGTGGTATTTTAATGGCCTTGAATTGAAAAATTATTCAAACCAAAAAAATTGCAACTAACTAATCAATAAAAAGCAACAAGCAAATCTCAGAATGTGCAAATGTCGCCTACCGGGGAAAAACGAGCTCAAGACGTGATCCATGGAGTGACTTTGCTCTTGATTGGTTAAAAAAAAAGGAAGAAAAAATCGTTTTCCCTGATTGGTTATAAATAATTCCAAGGACATGTTTTCCTTTGCCAACTTCAGATTATAGTAAACGTTAAACCAAATTAAACTACACATACTTTTTTGATGGTCTATTGAAAGCTGAACTTTTGAGATAATCTGGTAAGGTCAGGTTGGACTGTAGGCCACAAAACCTCCCGATGGCAGTTCTTTAGTTTTGATAATATTTCGAACTTAAGTAAGAGCGGTCACAATTAATCATGCTGATCGTATCTGAGCCCTCAGATCCGGCTTAAAAATGTTTTGCTCATCTCCACTAATCTCTGCTTGGGTTAATCTGTTACATTACTTGTGCATCTTTGACGATCACTTAGGGACAAAGTTTGATGAGATCGAAACGTTGATAACTATCATGGACGTTTTAAAACAAAGGTGACCATATTGTTTTTTATTCGACAAATTGACAAATAAACGATCATTTACAAAGCGAAATGTTCTGAAGAAAACTTAAGTCCACGTATCTTTTTGGAATAAACCTTAGAACGGCCAAATATTTTTGGAGATCTTCATAGAATATGGCAAAGTCATCATCAAAGGAGGCCGATTTAAATTAGAAAATCAATTAATTGTTGGTGTCTTAAAACATAGCTTGGTCAAGTAAATTAAAGGCAATTGAAACGCTTTCTCTTTAGCAAGCAAATGTTGAAGGTTTACTGAATATAATTCAAAATCGTGAAACTGACGCCTAAGCTTTAAAGGACGTTTTCTTTTGCGAAGTGCCTCGTCCTTAGCCTCAGTAATGAACGGCGATTAGATGCTAAAGTTTATAGCTTTAGTCTTTAGACCCAGCCAAAAACGTGCGACGTCGAAAAGTGCCGTAACTTCAGTAAATACTTTGCCATTGCCCAACTTTAGAAGCCAATATGATAAGATTTCATTACTCGTGTTTTTTCCTCTCAGGAACAAATGGCTTACGACCTTGAGTTAAAACAAAGAGAATGCCATCCTAGTTAAGTAGAAAATTGAGGTTTGATGGAAGGAGTAAGGTGTTTCTTTATACGCCATTTATTAAGTTCTTGAAGTGAATGCTTCTTTCCATTTTCGTGTTTACTTCAAGAGTCGAACATTGCGACATAACATCATGTCCTCACTTGACCATGGAAGAAATTACATGACCAAACAACTCAGTGCAGTTGTGTCGCAGGTGAGGCTTTTAGAAGGCGAACTATAAACACGACAGCTACACTCCCTGTGAATGTCTGTTTATTTCCTATAAAACGGTACTTGAGTAAACGAGAACCGATCCATATATCTTAAACTGGCAGTCATGTCAATCATATTGACGGCTTAAATGTAAGCGTACTGCTAACACTTTTATACAACGTTCATTAAAGCTTTCTAGCAAAATTTTTTACAAAATATTTACACAATATACAACTGAAAGGTGCAGAAGTACTTTCTGATTATCATTTTTTCATTGATTTGTCTTCATCGCTGATCTGTCGGCCTACCAGCTACACAGAAAAATTAACATTTCACAGCGGCAGCTTAAAGTAGACCAAGTTTTTAAAATGAACTTTTCTATACCCATCTTCTAGTATCAAATATAATCTATATTTAAAGTTCGTTTAAAGTTGTTCTTATAACTATATTTTCATTATTATTGAAAATGAGATTTTTTTTATTCTTAGAGATTGTCTTCAAGCCTTAGCTTTCCGGACGCTATTCTATTTACTATTGGCGATCGGGGCTGAGTGTGTTTACTTTCATATGTTGGAGGAATACCACTTAATCAAAATCTGGCGCCTTTCTCCAGTTTCTTCGTAATTAAGAAGTCAATTCCAAAAAACTGTCAGCTATTGAGGCGTGCTTTCTAGTTTAGGGGAGTCTGGGGAACGCTCGCTGTGATTTGTCTCGTCGTGAAGACCTTTCGATTTTTGAGCCGCTGCTTTAGCAGCTTCATGTAATGGTCGATGTCGAGCGGACTTCTGATGAGCGCGCAGTCCTGCAAGCTGCGAGTACGCGAAGTGACATACATTGCACTTGTAAGGCTTCTCTCCGGTGTGAAGTCTGGTGTGGTTCCGAAGCGTTGAAGACTGCGAAAAGGACTTCTTGCAGTATTTGCACTGGAAAGGTTTTTCCAACGTGTGAATGCGCATGTGCGAGCGTAAGTTGCTCCTGGAGTTAAATCCTCGTCTGCAAAGCGTGCACTTGAGTCTTCCTGGTACAACATTGCTTTTGACTCGCTCGTGGCTGAATTTGTAAATAGGATCTTCTGACAAAAAAAAAAGAAAGAAAAAAGACCTGTCAGTCCATAATTCCCTCAACTGCAAACAAAGATCTATTTTTCTAAAATCAATATTCAAAAGAGATCTCCTGCAATTTAACGCCCAGTTGGGTGCGATTTCCTGTTTGGAAGTTTACAATAGCTTGTAGGAAATGTGGAAAGTGGTTGAGGTGGTTCAATTCCAAGATAAACATATCACGCTGCGCTGTAAATTATACGAAGTGCTTCACGAACAGCTTGAAATCAAAACGAGAAACAAAACCTTTTTTCATATAGTAAAACCAAAACAATAATTCTTCATAATCATAAATACGTCATTTGAAATTTTGGAAGATAATTAAGGCACATGAACTTCGAGCCTTTACTTAGAAAGATTCTTTGGACAAAACTTACTAAACTTATTATGAGGTTCTTACTTGTGAATACCGAAAATATGTCCCAATTATTTTTTAACAACCATTAAATTGTCGTTTCTTCGGGCGTAGTTTTGGTTAAACATAAGTGAAATTTAGAGTGTTATAAAGACTCCAAAATGTTTTATTATATCTACCACTTCCAATGAAGATTTATGTACGATTTGTGTTTTGAGAAGGCGAAATGCTCCCTCCCAATTTAAACCTTCCTCATGAGTAAGAAAAGAAATGATTATAGAGCATTCAAATTAGAAAAATCGCAGCTAGATACTAGGCTTTTCGGCTGGTTAAACAAATCAATACTTGGTAGGAGCTGCGGAGGGTAAATGAAAGCTTTTAATAAGACGACTGCGCGAGGTCGGAATCCTGTTACATTGGATGTTTTTAACATGTTGTTAGCCTCGTTCAATGTAATAAAGAACCCGCCATCTGCAGCATTAGCTAAGTAATGTAACCCTACTCCATATGAAAACAACCCTGCAGAGTGAGAAGGCAGAAGATGGTTGGCACGTGTTTATTGTCGTAAGGAGTTCAGATCAGAATAGAGTGCATCCCAAAAATGTTCAACAGGAAATGAGAAAAAAAAACTTGCTATACATTTCTCAAACAGGCAGAGCAAACTCAAGCAAGAGAAACAAAATCATGTCAGCGACTCAGCTTGCGCTATAACCGCACTCAAGAGTAGTTTTCTTAATTGACTTTATATTAAAACTGAGTATGTGTAAATGCGCTCACTGATTTCACTCCTTTTTGGACTGAAAAACATGAAAATTGTCACGTTTTTGGCATCGCACCTTCAATTCTTGGCCATTGTGTTTTCTCAGCTTCAAGCATTGGCTGTTAGTATAC